ACCCAGACCCCCCCCCACCAGCACACCTCCCATACACAGTCAGACAAAATGTTGAAATATAAAGTACACTTCACAGCTTTGAAGTACTACAGTGAAAACTCACTAATACGTGGATCAGTAACAGCTGACCAGGATTCAAACCAACATCCTGAGGGAAACCTGCACACATTAAGTATTGGTTGAATTTTTCGATCCAGACAAGAACAAAAAGTATCAATGAAACCAACTCCTCAAACATGTCTTCAGTGTTTGATTGTTGCTTTACCTGGAACTAACGCAGCGTCAACCTGTCGTGTGACCAGATTTTATGAAAATGTCTTCATTCTTTTCTTCTGCTTTTGGGGGGGGCAACGTCAAAGCTTTGTGGGGGGGGGAGTTAAATTGCACTTTTTGCCTCCAGCCTCAACAGTCACTGCTACATTCCCACCAACACACTCCTGTAGGCCGTGCGTCTCCAGGATTTCTATATGGCTTTGGACGCAGCCTTTGTTCAGAGCAGACTACAGCACTGAGAAGGTCATGAGCTCGAGTCCGCTTCAACCATTTGACCTGAAGATGTGGATTTTGGCTTCTGGAAGATTCCTCCTGGCATCTGTGGTCAGGTCTACACTGATCATGTTTCTAAAAGGCAACGTCTCACCGTGGTGACACTTCCATCTGTCACAGCGGTGGAAGGTAAACGAAGGTAAACATTTTATTATTTCATCAAGAGCATAAAACACGTTCACAGCGCAGTACTACAAGCACAGTACTGTAGTGACAAGGAACACAAGCATGTCTGTGATGATGCATTAAAAAAAAAATTCAAACTACACAAGAGCACAAAGAACGACCTGGACGCAGACGGTCTTTGTTTTCAGTGATGAAAAATCCATGTTCAAGGCACTACATTCCTTCACAACTGTCCTCACAAATACTGTCACCGCTCTCATACAGTACCACCACACAGTACCATCATACAGTACCACCATACAGTACCACCACACAGTACCACCATACAGTACCACCATACAGTAGTAGTTTGGATTCAAAAGTAGTGAGGATGATGTTTTCTTGGTGCAAGGCTTCAGTGTGGACCAAAGCCAAACAGGAATATACATTATGTACTGTGTAGTATCCAGGTACACACTGTCTAGTATCCAAGTACACACTGTGTAGTATCCAGGTACACACTGTGTAGTATCCAGGTACACACTGTCTAGTATCCAAGTACACACTGTGTAGTATCCAGGTACACACTGTGTAGTATCCAGGTACACACTGTGTAGTATCCAAGTACACACTGTGTAGTATCCAGGTACACACTGTGTAGTATCCAAGTACACACTGTGTAGTATCCAGGTACACACAGGCCAAAGCAGGAGTTGGTGGGAGATTTCACTGCTCACAATGACATAATCAAAACACAGAACAGTCACCTGACCAAAATCTCCAATCAGGTGAACCTAAAGCATTCAGAAAGAATGTTTGATCTTTTTTTTTTTTTTAAAAGTGCATTTTTCAGATAGGAGGTTCGGTTTCTCTCTCTCACACACACACACACACACACACACACACACCACAGTCACAACATTACATCATCAACGCAGTGACTGAGGAAGAGTGAGTGTCTCAGATTGACCGTGTGGCGTTCGAGGACCGTCGTCAACTTGGACATCGTCCCACCAACAGTGTCTCCTACCCCACCATGTAGCGCCCCCTGCTGCTGTTACTGTCTCAGTGTCTCTGCAGCGTTGATGATGTCACTGTGAC